GAAGCACCATGAAAATGAAAAACTGAAAATTTTTATAATAATGCTACAAAATGCAAATAAAGTTATTCAGCACCGTACGAATTAAATATTCCTTTAAGCAATGACATTTAATAAAAATAATCTGTCAATTTTAATTCATGCAAATCTCACATAATACAAATAATTCACCAGCTTCAATTTATGCAAATCCTTGCATTCTCTGTATCATCGAAACATTCAAGCTTTCACTATTTCCAGTAGCTTTCACTATTTCATAATAGTCCAAAAAAAAAAAAAATTCATCAACTGCCAGTTCAGAGATCAGAAAATGAGAATGCAAAAGAGAGAAATATAAAAAATAATGTGAATCGCATAAATTAAAAACTGTTTGAACCTTTGGCCTTTGGTTTAATTCCAACCAATCTGAATAAAAAGCTTCCTTTCCAGCATTTCTGCCATTTCAAAAATTCTGCACTACGCGTTGAACTTTACTGTATCGATGGCATATATTATTTGGTTCAATCTTCTGTTATGCATCGCTTCAGTTCAAAATAGTCCAGGTAAGAAATGCTCATTCCATGCTCAACGGAAGATCCGCAGTTAGATCAGCAGTTTCATTATTAACATATAATATGGTATTTGTAAACACAAAAAATCATATCAGTTTTTTAGTCAAACAGAAGCATGAATGTCGTTATTGCAATGCGACTACGCTGACGCATAAGGAATATTTAGAACATCTTGAAACGCACAAGGAACAAGTTTATACAAGTGTACTTTGTCCACATGTGGAATGAAATTCCCTACCTTAAAGGGACTTCAACAGCATTACGAGAAACATCAACCTAAACTTCTGTGTGAAATCTGTGGCTCTTTCCTTTCTTATAAGAAAGGACTTGGAGAGCACAAGAAACGATGCCACGGAGTTAGAGGTTAATTTTGCAAAGCTTATGTATAGCAAAATAAGTTTTCAACGTGTATGCTCACATAAAAATGTGTTGTAAAACATTAACGGCAATGAAGTGCAATACAAAATTCAATACTTACTGCAATGCTTTTCTAACCAAAGTAGACAGCTGCTTATCGTTAACCACAGTTAGTGTTTGGCAGTTACTGATATGACAATGAACGGAGTGACGGAATTCAAGCAATTAGCGTCCTCATACTCCGTTGAATTTAAATGGTGTTGACAGTGATGACAATAGCATATATCACAATAATGGAACGAATATCCTATTGTATTCTTTTCTATGTTTACATCGGTTTTTTAATGCAATGATAAACGCGTGAAAAAACAGTACCTAATTCGATCTATGGAATCAAACGGTCGCTGATCACTCACTTCGTTTGATTTTATAAGATAATTTTAGGCCGAGTGGAATGAAATCCGCATTTGGGACATACTTTAGTAGACATGCGAAACCATCGCATTGCCGGTCAAGCTTCATTAGGTCAACAAGATGACTCGGGCAATGAGTATTTCTCAGAAAACTTTACATCCTCAACAACTTGGATTTAGCATTAATTGGCTCAGATACGGTTACATATGGCAGTAGATGGGGGCAATTACCGGGAACAAGTAGTAAAGAATTATATGATGATATATCGTTTTAATCCCTTTCACTTTACTGCTTTCACTCAATTGCGTGAAGTTGAATACACAAGAAGTAATTAATCTTAATCGAAATTGTTCTCGCCCACACCAAAAAATTCACAACTATCCGTTGTACGAGATTCCATCAAATGAAACATTAAGACTTAGATTCTGTGGCAAATATATACAAGAAAGTGAACAGTTTCGTGTGTTCTAAATTAATTGGTATGTGAAGTTTGTTTTATGGCATTGATATCTTCACGATCAGTTTTTAAATTGAGTCAATTAATTACCAAATGCTATGGTAGAAAAACTAGGCAAACACAAATGACACAACAGTTGTTTTTCAGTTATGAGGATGTATATGTGCCCACATGTTGACTGCAATGCGACCATACAGGACAAAGGCAAATATGACAGACATTTCCAAACGCACAAGAAACCATTTCATCATCAATGCAAACATCCGGGTTGTGGAAAAGAATACTACGCCAAGTCATCGTTTTCCACGCACATAAAATCCCGTCAACACAAACCCCAGGGTAAAAATTTCCTCAGTAATAAGAAATCACTGATAAGTCCTGCAGAGCTTCCCAGTTTTGCAAATTCAGCAGTTTTTAGCGGTTTTTTCTATCTGACATGAGTGCACGTGAAAATATGTTATGAAATATCTATGACCGTGGAGTGGAACAAACTGTTCACTTCTTTATTCCAGATCTAACGGGAGGAAATCCGCAATTGGGACATACTTTGGCATACACACGAAACCATCACGGTCAAAGTTCATCAGGTCAACGAAATTATTCAGCAATGAGTATTTTTCAGAAAACTTTAACATCCACAACAACTTGGATTCACTAATAGCCTCACATATGGGTACATGTAACAGTAGAGGGTAAACACTAGTGGGCAACTACCGGGAACAATTAGTAAAGAATTGTATAATAACATATCGTTTTAATCCCTTTAGTTTATGCATTCGCTTAATTGCATGAAGTTGAAGATATAAACAATAAAGAATCGCAAATTCGAAGCTGATCCCATTGCAACGAAAAATTCACAATTACCCCTCGTCTGACATTTTTCCATCAGAGGAAGATATTGAGAATGAGCTTTTTGTTTTTATTTTTTTAGAAAAAAAACATAAGGCGAAAAAATGAAGCCCATCTCGTAATTTAATTCAGTTAAATTGTGACTTGAAGGTTTGATAAATGATCCTGATGTAATCATTCTTCAAATTACATTCATTAATTGGCATATAAAATGGTACTTGCAAACATAAACGTCATATCAGTTTTTCAGTCGGGCAAAAGTATAAATGTCGTTATTGTAATGCGACCATGCAGACGAAAGAGGAATATTCAGAACATCTTGAAACGCAAAAGGAATATAACTGCACTTGGCTCGGATGTGAAATGAAATTCTGTTCCCGATCGGCACTTCAACAGCATTACAATATACATCAACCTAGACCTCAATGTGAAAATTGTGGCTATCTCTTTCCTCGCAACCGTACTCTACGAATACATCAGCAACGATGTCACGGAGGTAGTCGTTAGTTCCACAAACTTTATATTTAGCAAAAGATGTTTCGCAACGTATTTATTCACGTGAAAATGTATTGCAAAGCATTTGTGACAGTGAAATAGCAATTCAAAATTCAATACTTACTGCAATATTTTTCTAACCTCAGTAAATTGCTGCTTATCATTTCTCGCGGTTGGTGTTTGGCAGTTACCGACGCGGTAATAAACGGAGTGACAGAATTTAAGCAATTAACGCCCTTGCAGTCCGACGAATTGAAATGGTGATGACAATCGTGACAATAAGGCCATCATTGATGCTTTAAAAAAACTGAAAAAATGCCAATAGGGAAACGAATGTTCTATTGCATTCTTTTCTACGCTTTCATCGGTTTTTTTAGCACAAAGGAAGAATGAAAAATGAATGAAAAAAAAAGTACATCATTCGATCTATGTGACCAAACGGCCATTAACTGCTCAGTTCGTTTGACTCAGTGATGTGGCATCTAGGAAATGTTCATTCTAGGCCAAAGAAGGAGATCCGCAAGCTGAGGCATATTTTGGCAGATATACGAAATCATCACGGTCAATGTTCATTGGGTCAACAAAATCATTCGGATAATAAGTCTCTTTTTATACCTGATTGTTATCAACTTGTTGAATAAGATTGACGGTACAGCTAATTTGTGTATTAAAAATATAGCTTTTACTTGAAATTGAGGAGAATATACGACAAAATATGTTTTCGAGAAAAAAAAGTTACTACTTTTCGATGAGTCTTGTATGAATTGTTTCAGTGTTTATATAAAAAGATTTTCCATTGAAGCTTTGGCACATTTGAAGGATACTTGCATTTCTTGACAAAATTTCGAAAATATCAAAAATATCTTTAGCCAGTTTTGATAAACGCTTTGATGAGGTAATTTGCTTACTCTAATCATAAACAATTGCCTTTAAATCTTGCTTATACAAATATGATGTCGTTAGTGAATTTTCCATGAGAGGATTAATTTGTCATTCTGGATTGTTGTCGGTTAGAGCTGCATCAGCATTCCGCCCAATCAATTAGATAATGACTTTGACAATAGGTTGTAAAGACAATGTGGATCATGCTCTTTCAAATACCCAAACATACCCACCAGCTTCTGTCGGCGAGGCCGAAAAAGCGTATTATGAGTAGTTTTAATTGGAATTCATAAATTTTTCAAGTAAATGATTTGTTACATATAATTTAAAAAATAAATATTTTGACACTTAAATTGATCAACCCATCAGTTCAAAAAGAAGTCCTTTTCGACAAGTGGGTTAAGTAAACCATCAATCCTATATTCCGGAATGCAGCACTGAGATCAAAATTTACTATTATCATTATTCATTTAGTAACATTTCACATAATTCATAAGTCGTCTCACAGCATATTTAAAGAAAAGAATAACAGATTATGTTAATACCGATTTATGAAATGATCAGGAACAATGTGAAAAGAAATTCCATCGGTATGGTGCACAATGTACGATGCACTCCTTGGTTGAGTGTTTGAAAAGGAAAAATGATCTTTCAGTTATAGCCTTGAGTATATATACAATTTTAATTAACACAATGAACATATTTGCTGGTGTGATTTATAACAAATATTACATTAAATTTTCCTTTAGATAATGAAAAATTGTCGAAATCCGATTACAACAAAAGGCTCTATTTGGAACATCAAGCATCGAAGAGTAAATTAGTAAATAATAGTAGTAATAAATGTAGTACTCGCAATGAAACATTGTTGGTTAATCGATGAAAAGGGTGCAGCTTTTCAAGACCATTAGCATTAGCACCATCTATAAACCACCATCTATATGAAATGGATGCATGTGAAACTATACTGACGAAATACCTATGACTGCAGAGGCACTTCCATTGGCACAACGAAGTGATGTATAACAAATGTTCATTTTGTGCCCAGCGGCACACATTGGGCACACCTTAGTAGTCACACGGAACCATCACAATGTCGGTCAAAGTTCATTAGGTTAACAAGACCATTCGGTGCATGAGTATTTCTCAGGAAACGTTAACATCCATAGCAACTTATATTTGCCACTAGTTGTCTCAGATACGATTGCATATTACAGTGGATGGGAAATACTAATTGACAATAGAGAATTATATAATAACATATCATTTTAATCCCTTCCACTTTACTGCTTTTACTCATTTACATGAGGTTCAAGGTGTCGCGAATTCCGATTCGCCAGACTCCAACCATACCCCAAACTAACAAATAAATTTCTTACTATAAATAAATATTAATAGTGTAAATCATTTAACCAATTTACATTCTTT